CTACCAGAGCTCCCAACCTTTTGGTTAGCAACTGAATTTTTAATTATTGCACTACCACCAGTGGCACCTCTTAAGAAGCACTTGGAGATCTGCTTGTGGATGGTGACAGCTGTGAAAACTCTATGGAGGACAATTCTACTTTGCAACACATGAGGTTGTCATGAGTCGAGTTTTGACTCAAGTACAACTTTATTTTTTTACGGCCTAAATGCACTTCAGGAGCACTGGTGGTGTAGTGCCTAAGGCATTTGACTCCTAACCAGAAGGCTGGCAGTTCAAACCCACCAGCCACTCCTTGGAAGGAAGGTTGGGCAATCTACTTCCTTAGTGCTATTGCCTCAGAAACCCAAGGAGGGGTCACTATGAGTTGGTTCTGACTTGATGGCAGTGGATAAATGCACTTCAGGATCTGGGCCCTGTTGATCTCTTCTCCCATCTCACACCATCCTCCTCCATTGCCCTTCAGCTACATCATCCCCTCCCTGGCTCTTTCCTTAGATCCCACCTAAGGGAGGAGGTTCCTACTATCCCATGCAAATAAATGGTTCCATCTCACCCAAATTCTTACCTTGTTTAATTTCTAGCACTTTCCGTAACATGCAATTATCTTTTTTTTTTTTTTTATTAGATGATTGTTTAGGAGCTCTGGTGGCTTAGTGCCTAAGGCATTTGACTCTTAACCAGAAGGCTGGTGGTTCAAACCCACCAGCCACTCCTCGGAAGGAAGGTTGGGAAATCTACTTCCATAGTGATACGTCTTCGGGAACCCAAGGAGGGGTTAGTATGTGTAGGAATTGACTTGATGGCAGTGAGTTTGGGTTTTTTTTGGTTAGATTATTGTTTTTCTTAGTCATGAGATCATTCACTTGAGGATGGGGTTCTCCTTGAGGTGATATGTGAAGATAATATTGTGCCTGTGTTGTGAAATAAAGGAGCGCAGATTTCAGACTTTCAAAAATGCCTGATTTTGGGTAATCAGTAGTAAATACACTTTCTAAATTTTCTTTTTCTTTTTTTTTTTAAGCTTACTAGGGAGCTCTGGTAGCATAGTGCCCAAGGCACTTGACTGCTAACCAGAAGGCTGGAGGTTCAAACCCACCAGCCACTCCTCGGAAGGAAGGTTGGGCAATCCTACTTCCGTAGTGATACTGCCTTGGAAACCCAAGGAGGGGTCTCTATGAGTCGGGGCCGACTTGACGGCACATAACAACAACAACAACAAAGTAGGTGGGAGGGAGGCAGAAGACATGATGCTTAGGGGACAGGAAGCTTCTGTTAAAAGTGATGGAAAATTTCAGGATTAATGGTTAAGCAACATGATGAACGTAATTAATGTCACTGGAGTATACCTGTGATGATTGTACAAATGGCAAATTTTTATGACCTATATATTTGTAATAAAAAATATCTACTAAAGTGATTAGGAGTAAAGTGATTAAAGTTCTAGTTTTCTGTAGTGCAAGTTACAACAATTTTTAACGTGTGTGGCTGCTTCTTATATCTGCTCCCTTGTTCTCTGAATATCATCCCTTTTTCTTGATTTACTTCCTCATTGTGGTGAAACACATCTCTCCCAGAAGCTCTCTAACAAAGTGTGATTGGAAGTTAAGCTTTTTGCCACCTTCCATGTATGGAATGAATTTATGCTATTCCAGAGTTGACTGAGGATTTGGCTGGGGCCTATGTTAGAAATAACTTGCCTTCAGAATTTGAAGGCATTATTGCTTCATTTTCTTCAAGCTTCCAGGGTTGCTGTTGGGAAACACAATGACATCTTTTGTATGGATGTTTTTTTAAAATCCCTGTCTTTTTTTTTTTTACTATTCTGAAATGTCAGGAACAGATGCTTCAGATATGCCTTTATTTGCATTGGAAGTTTGGTGGGATTTTTTTTTAACATAAGCTTGGTATTGGAGTGATCATAGAAAGGATTATGAAAGAGACAGGTTGTGTATTAGTTTCCCATTCCTACTGTAATAAATCATCCCAAATTTAGTACTTAGAACACAAATTTGATATCTTAGAGTTCTAAAGGTCATAAATACGAAATAGATTTTACAGGACTAAAATCAACAAGGTGCTGGCAAGGTTGCATTCTTTCTAGAGGCTCTAGGGGAGAATCTGTTTCCTTGCCTTTTCAGCTTCTTGGCTCATGGCCCTGCATGACACCGATATCTACTTCCCCAATTATCTCTTTTCACTCTGACATTGCTGCCTTCTTCTTATAAAGCCTCTTGTAATTATACCGGGCTTGCCTGGATAATCCAGGAAAGTCTTCCAATTTCAAGATCCCTAATAACATCTGCAAAGTTCTTTTTGTCATGAAAGGTAACATATTCCATTTCAGGGATTAGGAAATGAACATCTTTGGGGGACTATTATTACTCAACCTCTCAGATGAGTCTACATTAGGTCTATAATTTGAGGCCAGTTTCCTAAATTCCCTATGTCTCAGTTTCCCCATCTATAAAATAAGAAAGAGATCTCAAACATTAGCATGTATAAAAATATCCTGGAGCATTTGTTAAAACACAAGTTCTTGGACCTCACCCCCAGAGACTGATACAGTAGGTCTGAGGTGGATCCCATAGATTTGCATTTCTAATAAGCTCCCAGGTTATGGTGCTGCTGTTTGTGGAATGCACTTCTGTGTACTACTACCTTAAAATGCACTCTTAATATCATCTTTAGCATTACCTAGAAGGCTATTAAAAAACAAACTAGATCCCTTCCTAAACTGATTGGATCTTAATCCATCAATCAATCACTGGGTACTTCTATATCTGCTATCACATTTATGTATTACCTAATTGTAATTTACTTAATAAACCCATGGCCATTGAGTTGATTCCAACTCATAGTGACCCCCATAGGTTTCCAAGGCTGTAAATCTTTACAGAAGTAGATTGCTTCAACTTCCTCCTGAGAAGCAGCTGGTGGAGAGTTTGAACTGCTGACCTGGTTAGCAGCCAAAAGTCTTCCCCACACCACCACCAGAGCTCCTTTAAATTGACCTAATAGTATCTTCAAATTGTAACTTTTATTTCAATATTATTATAAAATGACACTTTATTATTATAAATAGAAAACCAACACAACTTGCTTTAGGTAGAAGGTCATTTTGAACCTAAATACAACAAAAATAATTATAAGCTTTGCTAGCTACTGTTCCTTAAGTTCTGAGCCTGAGGCTTATTCTCTCTCCTTTTTTTAACAGCTAGATCAAAAAATGATAGCACAAAATTGAGACATTCTCCTTCACTTCATCAGGTCTGAAAAGAACTGAAAAGTACTGCCTCACTGTATGATTCAATGTCATTTAATACTGTGTCCAGATTCTACCTTAATTTCTTTCAGAGGCTATAATGGAAATTGGCTGCTGAGATTGTAACAATTCCACAAAGGGATGAGAGCTCGTTGAAGATTTATCTTTTATATCATCTTCTCATTCATCAATGTTATTAATCATGTAGAAAATTTTCAGAGTTGTAATCAGGATGAACACAAGTATGTTCCCTAATATTAAATTATGGGAGAAAGTGGCTGGTACACATGTAAGCATAAGCATATAAACGGATACAAAACTGAGTTTTTAAGTCTAGGCAGAAGATGGAAAAACAGGGTCACACTTTACCAACTGAGATACACCACATTTAATTGATATAAAAGTCAATTTTATGCCATCTATATTCAAAAGTATATAAAGGCGGAAAGCCTCTAAAAGTTGTTTTTTTTTTCTCTCTACTGAATATGAAATTTAAAAAGTTCATCTTCCCTAATAATTTAAAAGAATTTGGTAACACATGCTGAGTTTTCCTTTCTTTTTATTAACTTCCATATTCTCAGAGCCACAATGATGAGGCCCCACAGGTTAATGTCAGGCACCCAAATGAAGATTAAAGTGTTTATTTTACTTGTAATAAAATATCTCATTTCTTCAGCAACATCTAATCTTTTTCTTATTCAGTATTTTTTTCATGTTTGGGGTCTGGCGCTTCAAATTTGTACTTTCAAACTTATCCTGTCTTCCTGCTGCCTTTGCTTAGCATTGTTATGACCGTTCTTTGTTGGTTTTTATTTTGTGATATATTGTATTACCCAACAATAGAGCTTACATCATATCTTTATTGTTTGGGCTAAATTTGGTGTGAACAAGTTAAGAAAATTAAAAAAAAGCTGCCCAGATAATACTGTATAGCAATTGATAAGAATGGGTTGGATGTGTGTCTGACCCACAAGGTGGCAGATGTACTATTAAGTGAAAAAGCAAGTTGCAGTGTGATGTGTTACAAAGCTAAAAATAATATCAAGAAAAGCTCCTGTCCTTCATGATTATATACTTTAAAAAACGAGCAGGACATAAGGTGCAGAAGGATTCACATGAGGGTAACTTTGGTTACACTTGGTGTTAGTGGGAAGGGTGGAGGATAGAAATGAGGGCAGGAAAATCTGTGTTAAAAGATTCATTTTTTTTCTTTTTATAAATTGTATTGTTTTACCTTTGGAACAGTTTTTTTTTTTTTTTTTAAGATGATATAACAAATTGAATTTAAAAACATAATCTGGATAAAGGAGTTATAAAATGAGTAGTAACCTTTTGGAGAGGATTTGAATGTAAAGTAGGAGCGCTGTACTATCTTTAATGTAAGTCAAAGGACATATTGCCTGAAGCCAAACTGCATCTTAGAGAAGTAATAAATAATCCACAAGGAAAGTGAATGTGAAGACAGTTCCCATCAGAAACACATAATACCATAAGAGAATTTTATAGGCAAGAAGTATACAACTATTAACAATAGACAAGAAATTGAACACTATATAGTATAATGAAAACTTTAAATAAAAATACTGTAATGTCATGAGATGAAACTATTATTTACCTGAAGAAACTTCAGTAAAATTCTAGTATTCATGGATTTTATAAAACAAATATGATCAAGCAACTGAGATATAAAATAATATTTTATAAAAATTGACTTTCTTCTTGAAAAAACATTCACTTATAAGCTTTTATTTTGAAATAAATTTAAAGTAGATGATCTAGAAACTGTAAGTGTTTCTGGGTAAGGTTGAAGACCCATCTGCTTGTTATCTTTCAACTTTTGTACTATAACTTTGGCAAATTCTTCTCCTTGGATGTCAGTGGTGTCTAGTAATTGTCTGACTTTTGAAGTCCTTGTAGGTTTGGTACTTATAAGTTCATAATCCTCCTTCATAATCAAATCTCTGGACAGAAGAGCATCCAGGGATTGGTTAAGGCAGGCTTCAGTCATTTGGTTGACAATGTCTTCCCTTTTACTCTGGATCCACTGTTGGGCTACACCAGGCTGCAGACGCTCTGTAGAAGAGCAAGGAATGAACAATTAAAAAGGTGAGGAAAGATCAATAGCAATGAGTGAAAATAATTTTTCTAAAATTCTACTGATGCAGAATAGTGGTACTTTTAGGAAAGCTATTAATTTTCAAGAAATATTCAGAAATTTTGGGTTGTCTCCTCACTCTCCCTTCCTGCCTTGATAAGGTACTGCCTTTGGATGGAACTACACCCACAAATATATATACATTTGACAGAGGATATTTCCACATATGGATTTATATGAGCTGCAAATATCTGCATAAATACAGCAGACCTTAGTGGGGGCAAAGTTATGAAAATTTCTCAGCTATAAGCAAACACCTTGAGGGAATGCATCATTGGGCTTGGGGGCTCAGGACCATAGTCTCCGGGGACGCTAAGGTCAATTGGCATAACATAGTCCACAAAGACAATGTTCTACACCATATTTTGGTGAGTAGTGACTGGGGTCTTAAAAGCTTATGAGCACCCATCTAAGGTGAATCTATTGGTCTCTCTCCATCTAGAGCAAAGAAGAGTGAAGAAAATCAAAGACACATGGAATTAGTCCAAAGAACTAATGGACCACATGACCCCAGCCTCTATAACCCTGAGACCAGAAGAACTAGATGGTGCCTGGCTACCACTGCTGACTGTTCTAAAAGGGATCACAACAGGATAGAGAGGGAGAAAAATGTGGAACAAAACTCAAAACAGTAAAACGACCAGGCTTACTGGCTGATAGAGACTAATGGAACCCTTAAGACTATAGCCCTTAGTTACCCTCCAACTTTCAGCCAAACAATAGACAGGCGTGCAGGGTGAACAATAACACCAGAGAAGTAAGCACTCATTAGAACAATCAGCCATATGAGATTGAAAGGGGAGCACTTGTCCAGTTACAAGGCTCAGAAGGCAGGAACAGTTAGGTAAGAAGGGAAATGGTAACCACAGGGAGGAAGTGGGAAGAGTACTATTACGTTGTGGGATTGCAATGGATGTCACAAAACAAAATGTGTATGAATTGTTGAATGGAAAACCAATTTATTGTATACATTTTCATCTAAATCACAATTAATAAAAAATTTGCTATATTCTAAGTAGGCAAATGTAGAGAAACAAAAGTCTATTAGTGGTTACCAAGAGTTATTGTTTGATGGGGCACTAAGCTTCTGTTAAGGATGATGGAAAAATCTGAGAAAGGATAGTGGTGACTGTAACACAGTATGATGAAAACAATTAATGTGAGTGAATTATACATATAAAAATGTTGAAATTATATATTTTGTTATATATATATTCATCACAAGAAAAAATAAGACAGCCTCTCTCCCCCCCAAAAAAACAAAAACAAAAACAAAAACAAAGAAAGTACTGCCTTTGTATGTGTTATAAATCATGGGGCAAAAACCACTTTATTCTCTTCAGTTGTCTTTTTTTTTTTTTTTTTTTTTAATATAAAGGATACCTGTATGTTTGCTAATTAAAACAAGAAACTTTACCTTTAGAAACAGACTCAATAACATCTCCTTTTAGTAAGCTCTCCACAGTCAGATGTTCATGGGATATCTCTTGGGACTATTATTACATATTAGCACTTGTATTTTTGGGGGTTAGAAGTGCTCTCCTACTTAAGAAGGTATGTATTTACACTACTGAGGAAATAAAGACAAGTAAAACTTATTATATGGCAAATCTGTTAAGCATATATTTGGAGAGTAAATGGCATCACTTCCAAAGTGTCTCACAGTAATACATACCTGAATGTCCCCCAGCTGACAGTAGATTTATTACTGCTAAAGTGCGTGGTGTGCTCTTGTGATCACAGAATTTAGGCCCTTGAGCTGGAGAAATGTTACTTTCCCAACTATGATTTACCGGATGGTGCTGTAGCATTGAAGAATAATCTTGAGTTTTTCCTATAAAAGACAGTATCTTCATTAGGGATAGAATATTCTTTAGATATTCCTATTAGCTAAAATCCACATAATCAACATCTTGGTCATATAGAGGGTAGGCACCAATGTCTTTAGTTTTTCACTGCAATTAAAGTCTCAGAAACCTAATTCCACAAGTAAATATTTTTAGAACACAAAAGGCTTTCTACCAAATGTTTTCCTATACTTCTAAGAAAATTATAAATCATGGACTTTTGCTTCTTCACATAGTCATATGTTTCTTCATCTGTGTCTTCTTCCTTTCTCTGCCCTTATAGTATCTCCTCTGCATCTGCAAAAGATGTGTGTTTTTCTACATTCTACTCTGGCAATTCTACTCTATCTTAGGGCCTCAATCATCACCTCTATTGCCAAATGCACGTAATAGAATTTTCCATCTTCCTTGAACATCAGTCTTACATTTCCAACACCCTACTTGACATCACCCTTACATGCCCTGCCAGCACCTGAAATTAAAAAAAAATAATTATGAAGTATTAATCTTAACCCTAAAATCTGTTTTGTTTCCTATTTCTTTTAATGGTACTAATGTTTTTCCAGTCACCTATGCTTATTAATAAATGTATTCACCTTTATCTTTTTTTCTTTCATCTTTCTACAAATGAAAAATTGAAGTTTATCAGTGCATCCTCTAAAACATCTTTTATTCTACCTCTCTCTTCATGAGGTGGAGTAAGAGATATTTTGCAAGATGCACTGAAAAACTTTTATAATTCTCATAAACTCTGAATTCGCTGTCTCATAATCTCTCCTGTGCACTACAGTAATAGTCTCCTAACTGGTCTCTCCACCTCAAGCGTCCTTTCTTTTCTACAGTGTCTTAGTTTACCAGCCAGAATGACTTTTCTTAAAGCAGAAAAGTCTTATCATGTCATATCCTTCTTCAAAAATTTGCAATAGTTCTTGCCTACCCATGGAAAAGAAGTCCAAATAGCTAAGTGTTAGAATTCTCAATGGATTCTCCAACCTATCTTTCTAACCTTATTTCCCTCTTTCATTAATCCGTTGACCAGCTAAACAAAATTGCCACTGTCTCTGTGCTGCCTCTATGCTGTTCCCTTTGCCTGCAGTGTCAGTCTTTTATATAAGCCCAACTGTAAGCCCAAAATTATTTCTTCATGATGATAACGTGGTGTGGTGGGATGACATAGAATCTCTACCAGAACACCTAGCTTCAAGTCTTGGATCTTCCACCTACTTGCTATGTGATCCAGAAGTTTCTTAACCTGTAAATGAGGGATAGCTACCTGAGAAGTGGTTATGAAAATACTTTATAAACAGTGTTACTTTTCCTCTGTACTATCATAGCTCTTATATCCCTATCTCTCTTATAACACAACACTTCCAACCTTATAGTGGTTACCTAGAAACATTTCTCTGCTTCCTTACAAGGGAATTTTTTTTTTTTTTTTTTGATATCTTTCCAAAGTATCTAATACCCTGCCTTGTAATGCTTAATGTATTGTTGCATATCCTACCACTATCAACATATTTTTAGACCCTGTCACCTTTGAAAATGAGTTATGAATACAAATGAAAGCATGCTCCATGTAAGCCATGACTGCTTGCTAACAACATGATATAGAAAGGGAAGAAAAAGAAAACTTGCAAGTTGATATTGACTGGAAAATTTACGTACTAGATAAAAATTCACTGTCTTGAGTTGACAGGGATGTTGAGGTTCCAGGAAAAACACTACTTTTATGGAGTTGAGAGGATCCACACGATTCCTAAAATGAGTAGAGGATTTAGGTTAATAAAAACATCATTCAAAAAGTTATACAACTTTATTTTCTAAAGAGTTATTGCTTTTGCTTTGTTACAAACCAAATCAAAACTACTATAAATTATGTCTTATGAAATAAAGGAAACACATCTATAGCATAATCAACAAAGATGAACTTATTTTTCACTGAGATGGGGGAAATGAGACCGTAATTAAATATATTAAAGTATTTTTTCCCAGTATTTTGTACATATTCTCAGGGTTTCTGTTCAATGGCTAGAATAGTGGATGAGGAATTTAAAATCTGCAGTGATGCTTACTTACAGATTTCGAGAAAATGCTTGTTTCTCAGGTTCCTTCAACACAGAAGGGGAGGAAACCATGGAAAAAGTAATGGAGAACCTGGTTTCCCTCCTGGATCTGTCATGAAATTAGCAGCTAACATTGCACGAGGAATTTAAACTGTCTCAGGGTCTTTGTAATTTCTCTCTAAAAATGTATCTACATGGACTGAAGAATCAAATGAGCTAATGTATGTAAAGGTAACTGAAAAACCAAGTATTATGCTTTGATGTTCATTTTTGTTAATCTGTAACATGAATATATCTTATATAGTTTGAAGAAATTATTAATAAGAAGTAAGCCTAAATTAATGCTACTAGAGAAATACTTCTTCTCTGATAGATTTTTCCTTTTACTGATTGTCATAAAAGATAAAAAAAAAAGGCATTTATTATAGCCATGTTACATTGGATAAAGAGGCATAAATATGATAGAACTATAATCAATGACTTGCTTGCATACTACCTTGGAACATCATTGATTGTATAGAACAATGAACAGGGACACAAGTCAGTGCCAAAAAAAGCAAGAACTTGATGGGATGGGATGGGATGGAATGAGCAATGAATGGAAAACTAGGAAAGATGGGTTTCAAGTTGGAGACTAATTAAATCCTAAAATCTTTCTGGGCTTTATTTTCCCTTCTAAAGAAAGGAATTAGAATAAATGATTTATCATATTCTCATAGCCTGCGTTTTATCACTTAATTCTTATTTATTTATTTATTTTACCTCCTGTGGACTATGATTTACGGCAATGCTCATAGATAACTCCATTTTCTTCTTGTCACATAAGAGAATAGTACTTGTATTATTCTGTAATTGAAATGAATACATATATGTACTTCAATTAGAAGTGTTAGAAAATTATAAAGTAAAATACATTCTAAAACCAAAAAAACAAACCAAACTCACGGCCATCGAGTCGAATCCGACTCATAGGGACCCCTCCTTGGGCTTCCGAGATGGTATCTCTACAGAAGTAGATTGCCCAGTCTTCCTTCTGAGGAGTGGCTTGTGGGTTTGAACCACCAGCCTTCTGGTTAGCTATCAAATGCATTCTATTTAATCATATTTTATGTTTATAGAAAATCAATGGAAGGAAATTTTAATCAATTGAGGATATGATATATAACTTAAAGGTAGAGATGGTGTAGAATAGGAGAAAAAGCTTTAGAGACACAGATTTTGAATTCAGCTTCTTCTTATTGGTTACCTCAAGCAAATTACTGATCTCTCAGAGTCTCAGGATTTCATCTGTAAAAAGGGAAAAATATCTACTTGCAGGACTTTTCTGGGGATTAAATAAGATAATGTATATAACGTGTCTATTACAAACAAGATATTTTAACAATTGCAGTTTGTATGTCTGCCTGTCAATAACTATTAAGCATTTACTATATATTAGTTACTGATCTTATAACTATTATTAATATTTTCATTTTATAGATAAAAAATGGAGGCAGTGTGCCAAAATGGAATGATGCAGGCAAAGTATAAGATCTGGTTTAGAAGGTCAAGATACCTGTTTGTTCTTGGGCAAGAGACGTACTCTCAGTTTTAGAAAACAAAACGAAAGTAACTCACTGCCATCAAGTCAATTCTGACTCATAGTAACCTGCACTGGGTTTCTGAAGTGGTAAATCTTTACAGAAGTAGCTTGCGCTATTTTCCTTCTGCAGAACAACTGGTGGGTTTGAACTGTCAACCTCCTGGTTAGCAGTTAAATAAGTTGGAGGTAATAATACCCATTTTGCAGGAGTATTGTGAATTCATGCGAAAAGAGCCATAAGATGACTAAGGATGCAGTCAATAAAAGGTAGCTATTATGAAAATGAGGAGCTCTGGTGGCATAGTGCCTAAGGCATTTGACTGCTAACCAGAAGGTTGGCAGGTCAAACCCACCAGCTACTCTTTGGAAGAAAGTTTGAACAATCTACTTTTGTAGCAATACTGCCTTGGAAACCCAGGGAGGGGTTGCTATGAGTTGGAACCAACTCGACGTCAGTGAGGAGGAAGTATTATGAAAATGATTAATTTAAACACTGCACATTTGTATAAAAAATCAGTGATTTTAAGCCAGGCTTAAATGGGCTGCCATTAGTGGTGAGTGACTTGTAAACATAGCCACAGATCAACACAATACCAACCGCCTGTCAGAACTGGTGGGATCCATTTCCAGCCCTACAGCATTTGCATTTATGATTGCCTGCTCCATGATGGGTAAGGAACATTAGTAGAAAAACGATCTTCTATTCATCTCTACATGTACTTTGTTAAATATTTTTATATGATCCTTTAGTCTTCAGAATTGTCATGTAAAGTATTTCTGTGCTTGTAAAATTCACCAAAATATTTCTCATAATGCAATATCCTTGAATTAGTCATAGTTTTTCACAACTGATCACTGATGATAATACAAATTGATTACAAACTAATTAATCAGTGCCTGGGAAGAAATTAAATGAAATATTAAGAAAATACATGTTTTTGGTTTAATTTTTACTATTCAAAACATAGGAAACGTTATTTGCAGAAAATATGAATTATAGAAATTGGTTCAAAGAACTGAAAAAATATGAGACTCAAACAAAATAAGTCACCTTACAGAGTGGTTTTTATTTCAGAAATTTCTTTATGAAAAATATTAAATTTGTATCCTACTCTTGGTGCAACCACTAATTCATTATGAGGGATGCATTTAAGTGACTACCTTCCCTATACCCTAGTTATCTATAAAGTGGAGATACTACCTTACAAGGTTCCCAGGATTGAAACAAGGGTTTAAGAAAAGAAAAGAAAAAAAAAAAAAAAACTCTAAGTGAAAACAATGCGGCAACTTAAAACAATAAGCACCATAACCAAACCAAAAACCAAACTCTCCTTGGGTTTCCAAGGCTGTATTACTAGGAAGTAGATCTCCAAAGGCTGGTGGGTTAGCAGACAAATAACTGCCTTAGGCACTACACCACCAGAACTCCTTAGGCTATTATTATTTAAAATACTAAAGTACTTGTTGTTGTTGTTGTTATGTGCCGTGGAGTCGGCCCCGACTCATAGCGACCCCTCCTTGGGTTTCCGAGGCAGTATCACTACGGAAGTAGGATCGCCTAACCTTCCTTCCGAGGAGTGGCTGGTGGGTTTGAACCGCCAGCCGTCTGGTTAGCAGGCAAGTGTCTTAGCCACTATGCTACCAGAGCTCCCACTAAAGTACTTAAACATACACAATTTAAATTACTTTACTTAAGCAATTTTTTTAAAAAAAAAACTAGCCATCTTAGATATAGACCCTGTTGTTGTTGTTATGTGCCGTTGAGTCCGACTCATAGCGACCCCTCCTTGGGTTTCCGAGGCAGTATCACTACAGAAGTAGATTGCCCCATCTTCCTTCTGAGGAGTGGCTGGTGGGTTTGAACTGCTAGCCTTCTGGTTAGCAATCAAGTGCCTTAGCCACTATGCTACCAGAGCTCCCTGATATAGACCCTAGTGTTTTAATTCTTTTGGGGACAAAAAAGGAAGTAGAATGGTTCATTTCCATTTCATAAAGAACAAAATGGACTCTTTTCGTCTACCACTGTTTAGAAGATGAGGAAAAAAAAACAAATGAGAATACTGTGAGGAGAAAAAAGAGAACTTAAAAGAGAAAGTGAAAAAAAAAATATTACCAGAAGTTTGTATCTCCTCAGAAGAGGAGAAATTGGAATATTCTGAAAAAGTATACCTACTCAGAAGTGGAGAAGTGAATGAAAAATTATCAGAAGAACTAAAACACAGCTCCTCTTTAGTTTCTTCTAAAATTGTATTAACATTGCCTCCATCCACTTTTAGTTTGGGTAAGAACGGTTGTTTCCTTTATGTACTTCTCTTTTTAACCAAAGGTTATGTAAATAGATCCAGCAAACAGCAAGAGGCATGCAATGCCATTTAGTCATAAGTCTGCTAACTGAAGGGTTGGTAGTTGGAACCTGCCTACTGCTCTGTAGGAGAAAGGTGTGGCTTCTGTAAAGATTTACAGCCTTGGAAACTTTGTGGGGCAGTTCTACTCTGCCCTATAGAGTTGCTACGAGTAGGAATCAACTCCATGGCAAGTTTTAAAAATCTGCACGTTGTGCTTGTTTATAACTGAAGAATTTGGCTAAACTGATGATTGTCATTATCATACAACAAATGCAACTTAATGACACCTGACATTAGTGATAAATTATGCTTATTTTGTCCCTAACAGACTGTTGTTACTTTTTAAGCAACTTTTAGTAATACTAAGAAAATGCTTTAATAATAGATCCCTTCAGTTGTTCTTCTGATCTACAAGAGCAGGATCAAATAAAGGAGACAACTCTCCTAGGTACTTTATATTAACTGCTTATTTGGTCAATGCAACATGAAGTGTTTGAGTGGGAGAATGAAATAATACAAGTAAACAGTTAAAAAATACATATTTTGGTCTCAATTATTAATAGAAATTATACAGCTTATTTCAGCAGTAAATCTCAGAAAAGCCCAGTAAATAAAGAGAAGTGCAAGAACCCAAACATTTATTAATTTGTTGTTGTTGTTATGTGCCGTCGAGTCGGCCCCGACTCATAGAGACCCTTCCCCCCGAGGCAGTATTACAATGGAAGTAGATTGCCTAACCTTCATTCCAAGAAGTGGCTGGTGGGTTTGAACCGCCAGCCTTCTGGTTAGCAGTCAAGTGTCTTAGGCACTATGCTACCAGAGCTCCTATTATTAATCTGTAGTTATTAAATTTTACATAAATAAATATAGATTAAAATAAACTTCTGAAAATTCAGGGTACTCATTGTATAGTACCAATATTCATTACTCATTTTAAACTTTCATATGATATATGAGAGTTCTGGAAAGGTCTTTGAAATCTGAAGGTGTATTTGAATAAAATACAAAATCATTTCGGTGACCAAGAAAAGATAGCATTCATAGTCTCTGGTAAACTCTCCTCCCCAAACTATAGTCTATGTATACAGATGAAAACAAAAGAACATTAAAAATCTCCATGGGTAGTGCTATAGATTGAATTGTATCCTCCCAAAGCATGTGTTGTAAACCCTAGCCCCTATACCTGTATTATGATCCCATTAGGGAATGGGGTTTCTTTGTTATGTTGATAACACTAATACTAGTATTAGTATAGGGTGTATTTTAAGTGAACCTCTTTTGAGATATAAAGAGAACAGATTGAGCAAGCAGGCAAGCAAGAAAGTAGAGATTGGGGAAGACAGATGGCCACACCCCATGAGATCTCCAAAAAACAAGAAGCTGGAAAGAAACAAGGCCCTTCGTCCAGAGCTGACAGAGACAGAGAAAGCCTTCCTGGAGAGCCGGCACCCTAATTTAAACTTCTGGCCTCCTAAACTGTGAGAAGATAAATTTGTGTTCATTAAAGCTAACCACTGTGGTGTTTCCCTTATACAAGCACTAGATAACTAAGACTGGAAGTAACACAATTCTATAAAATTCTAATTTCTAACATTTCATTTGCCAATTTACCTTTGTTTTCTTTAGTTGAATAACAGCTTCAAGGAAAGTTATTTCATCAAATGTTCTCAGAATTGGTTCAAGTTCTATTAAACATTCTAAATAAAGAAATAAAAATACAATTTGAGTTCAGATTGTTTCTAATCATTAAACTGAAAAAAATGCAAATGCTAACACTGAACTGGTAAGGCTCCGAGTCAATTCTTCCCTAAACTTTCAACTGTCTTAAGAGCTTTGAATACTGGCATAATAACAGACAGATAACTGAATGGAATAGAAATTAGAGTCTGAAAATAAACCCTTACAATTATGGTTAATTGATTTTGGTCAAAGGTGCCAAGGTAAATGGCACCCTAAGTCTTCCCCTAACACTGGGGAAAAGACAGTCTTAGGAACAGATGGTTCTCTGAAAATTGGATATCCACAAGCAAACTGGCAAATTTGGGCCCTTCTTGCACACAATACATAGAAATAAACTCAAAATGGACCATGGACCTACATGTATGAAATAAAGCTACAACAGTTTTAGAAGTTTACATAGAAGAATATCTTCATGACCTTGGGTTAGGAAAAGAATTCTTAAATTTAACTCAAAAGCATGAACTATAAAAGAAAAAAAACATAAATTGGACTTAAAAACAATGAAAACATTTGTATTTGAAAAGACACTATTAAGAAAAGATAAAAAGACAACCCACAGACTGAGAACATATTTGCAAATCATGTATTTGCTAAAGGTCTTGTATTGAGAATACACAAACCAAAAACCAAACCCACTGCCATCAAGTCAATTCAGAGTCATTGCAAACCCCATTGGGTTTCCAAAGCTGTAAATCTTTACAGAAGTAGATGGCCTCATCTTCCTCCTGCAGACAGCATCTGGTAGGTTTGAAACCCTGACTTTCTGGTTAGCAGACAAATGCCTTACCCACTATATCACTAGAACTCCTTAGAATAGAATATGTAAAAAACATAGTGGCTAAGACACTTGCCTGCTAACCAGACGGCTGGCGGTTCAAACCCACCAGCCACTCCTCGGAAGGAAGGTTAGGCGATCCTACTTCCGTAGTGATACTGCCTCGGAAACCCAAGGAGGGGTCGCTATGAGTCGGGTTTGACTCGACGGCACATAACAACATAACAACAACAAATCAGTAATAAGATGTCCCAATTAGAAAATGGGCAAAAGATGTGAACAGACATTTCACTGAAAGAAGATATATAAATAGCTAATCAGCACACAAAAAGATATTTAAATTCATTAGTCGTTGTTGTTGTTGTTATGTGCCATCAGGGTCATTAGGGAAATGCAAATCAAAACTACTTCATATCCACTAAAAATATCCACTAAAATGGTAAATGGTAATAATTAAAAAGACATACAATAAGAAGTATTGACAATGATGTTGAGAAACTCAAATTCTCGTACATTGCTGATGAGATTGTAAAATGATACTGCCACTTTGGAAAACAGTTTGGCACCTTTTTAGAAAATTAAACATAAATCTACTATACACCCCTAACAGAAATGAAAACATGTTCACATGAAGGACCGTATGTGATTCATCTTTTGCTGATTCTTCTTACCTTACTCAATTTCTAACTATTGGAACACCTCTGAAGTCTAGCCTGGGCCCTTTATTCTTCACTATCTATATTCTTACCTGAGATGATCTAGTCTAGGTCATGGCTTCACACACCATCTGTATGTTAGTTACTCTGTATTTTACATCTGGAGCCCTAGCTTCTCCATAAGCACCCAATTAATAAACTGCAGTAGTAATAGTAATCATGACAAAATGCAACTAGAATTACCTGTTTATGGACGAGGGAACCCTGATGGCACAAGGTTAAGGTCTGGTAATCAAAAGGTTGGCAGTTCAAGCCCACCAGCTGCTCCCTGGGAGGAAAGAGCTGGTGATCTCTCATAAAGATTATAGTCTAAGAAACTCTATTAGGCAGTTCTACTCTGTTCTACAGGTTAGCTATGAGTCAGAACTGAATTCACGGCACTAAATAACAACATTTATAGACTGGCAAATAGTGAATGTGCCCAATTTGAACGTAGGCCTTAGGACTCCAGAGTCCATGCTGAAATGCAACCAACTATGCACCTGGAATCTCCACTTACATATTCAACAGCATCTCACATTTCCATTTTGCAATGTGAGGCTCCTCACTCTACCCTTCCTCAACGTATTCCTCCCTCAGTTTTCTTCATCTCAGCAAATGGTATCAACATGCTAACTTGCTTGAGCCCCAGACTTGATTTATCCTTGATTTCTCCCTTTCCTTTATTCCTATATCTAATAGTTTCCACTTTCTATTTTTCTACCTCTGAAATGTGTCTTAATTCTGTCTACCTTTTCTATCTCAAGAATCACCTTTATTAGAAAACTACTCTGAGAGAGTCCCCTACCTGGTTTCTTTGCTTCTAGTCTTGCCTCCTCCAATCAATTTTTTCACAAAGTGGTAAGAGTGATTTCTCCAAAACCTAAATTAGATCCTGTAACTTCCCTGCAGAGTACACGTTTCAATTGTCCTTGGAATAAACATCTAAACGTCTTATGATAGTCAACAGTCTCCTCCTTACCTTTCTAACCTCATCTCATATTCTTGCCTTTGTTGCTCACCCAATTCCTGCCACAGAGACTTTCTCTTTGTTCCTTGAAGAAACCACACTCCTTCCTTTTTCCAGATTCATGTCCTTCGCCCCTGTTTTCTTTGCCTGAAATGCTCTTCCTCCAGCTTGTGAATTGCTGCTTCCTTCTCAAGTTTCAAACCTCAGCTCAAATGTTTGCGCCTCAGTGTGGCTTTTCTCCACTGTCCTTAAGTACTCTACCACCTTTATTTCCTTATAGCACTTCCTGATCTGTGTCTTGTTTATTTTATATTTTTCTGTCTGCCTTCCTCATTATAATGTGAGCTCCAGGAAGGTAGAGACTTAGATTGTCTTGCTCACTACTCGGTTTCCAGAGCTTAGTCCAGTGCCTAGCATGTGTTATTGTTGTTGTTGTTATGTGCCATCGAGTCAGCCCTGACTCATAGCGACCCCTCCTTGGGTTTCCGAGGCAGTATCACTACGGAAGTAGGATTGCCCAACCTTCCTTCTGAGGAGTGGCTGGTGGGTTTGAACCACCAGCTTTCTGGTTAGCAGTCAAGTGCCACAGTTCATATCTGTTGAATACATAAATGGAATTATTCTTCTTCTTATGTGATCTCTTTTGATTCAGTTCAGTTCTAGAAGCAGTTACTATTTGAATAATAAGAGTGAAAAGAATTTTTTTTAAAAAAACCTTGGAGCTAGTCATCAAAATTGTGTGATTTTTAAAGGAATATTTTATTCATATTATATTATCTATTTCTGCACTTCAAAAGATACATATTAAAAGCATACACTCACTTGAGAAAGATGGTCTTTCGTCTGGATTTTGTGCCCATCCATTTTCTATTAGAGAGATCATAAGTGCTCGGTGAGGTATATCAAATGGTAAACTTTCTTCATTAGTGTCAGGGCGATGCCCCTGTGAAACACTATACATGATCTGCAAGGGATTGGTGACTTCTATCAAAACAGAAATAGTGCATCATTAGAAATATTTTATGACTCAGTATATTAAATGCATTCTAAAACAATTAAATGTAAATGAGGGAATTTTAAAATTTTAGTAATAACTCATTACATAACCCCCTTCCTATAAGAGAAGTATATATCCCAGCTTTTGTCATATGACTAGCCTGCCTTCTATGGGAAGAGTATACACACTCACCTTATTAATTTTAGGTTTGACCATGTGATTTACTTTGGACAATGTGAGTAGCCCAGAGCCAAGACAGCCAAGCAGAAACTAGCAGAGCCAAGAAGGACCAAAGCAACTAATAAACAATGTGGGTGAGAAATAAATATTTACTTTGTAAGCTACTGAGATTTTCAGGGTTGTTTGTTAATAGCAAGCTGACCTATAACCAAAAACCAAACTCACTGCCGTGGAGTTGGATCCGACTCATAGCAACCCCTCCTTGGGTTTCCGAGGCAGTATCTCTACGGAAGTAGATTGCTCAACTAACCTTCTGAGGAGTGGCTGGTGGATTTGAACCACCAGCCTTCTGGTTAGCAGTCAAATGACTTAGGCACTACGCCACCAGAGCTCCAAGCTGACCTATACAAACCTCAAATAATAATAATAAAACAATATTATTAAAGAATTAAAAAGACACTATTTTTGCTCTTTTTTATTTTATTTTTTATTTGAAAAGCTTGTTTTACATTCAACATTATGTGTACATTTAGTTTTGCTTCCCATTTACCATGTCCAACCTTAATCCAGTCTCCTCCCCTCCCTACCCTGTAACCCTTCCCCTGTGCCCATCATATTTATGCACTCTTGTGTATTTTTGTTTTTATAGAAGGAACACCAATTAGATTTGCATATAAATAGTCTTACAGGTGGAATAGATCTTGATAATTGTATTTCTAAAGTCTTATTTTACAGACTAAGAAGAAAAACTGAAGACTCAAGAAATTTAGTGGCTTAATCACAGAGCTAAAAACAAGAATTAAGATCCAGGTTTTTCTGGTTCTTAATCCAGTATACTTGCCATTATACAGTACATCCTCAATTGATAAACTGATGTTTCTATAGTGTGTTTTCCACAAAATAAAGGGTTGTTGTTGTTGTTGTTATGTGCCGTGGAGTCAGTCCTGACTCACAGCGACCCCTCCTTGGATTTCCAAGGCGGTATCACTACGGAAGTAGATTGCCCAACCTTCCTTCCAAGGAGTGGCTGGGGGGTTTGAACCACCAGCCTTCTGGTTAGCAGTCAAGTGCCTTCCTTCTGGTTAGCAGTCAAGTGCCTTAGGCACTATGCTACAAGAGCTCCCTTAAAATAAGGTAGGAAGATTTAAAATAAGGTAGGAAGATTTAAAATAAGATCAGTTTTACAGGGTTCTGAGTGTGATGGACCAATGTGATGTTACTGAGAAGAACAAAGTCAAAGTACACTTACCTTCAAAAGGCTGCTTTCTGGATAAGACTTCCCATGTGATAACTGCATAACTGTTTAAGATAAACATATAAATACTGCTTATTATAAACTAACTTAGCATAATAAATACAAGAGCAGTAATTTAGAAAACTAACTATGAAGATGTCATTTTTGAAAGCGATGAGGTAGTAGAATACTACATGAATCACCAAACACAACTATCACAATGAATGCTCATATGTGATTTTGTTTCAAATTGATGCTAATTTTAAAAATTAGGCAGTAACTGTAATAAAATCTTGATGCTACATGCCAGGTTAACTTGTTGGAGATGATTTAATAGTCATTCCTGAACACCTAGATAAGCTAAGCCCTCTAACAACATGATTCATTTATTCACACAAAATAATAAGCAATAAAAAAGATCGTCTCATGTAGCCCTACCATATTTACTTTTTTGTGGTCTAAGGACTGTTTTCTTTGGTAATGAAAATATCCTGTCTACAATTTAATTTCAGTTGTCAGTCACCTGATTCGGTAGTATAGACTTTATAGTTGGGATAACGGACAACACAGGACCCAGGGATTCTGCCACCCTCCCAAATGAACTGTTCATTCAAAACCAGACACATGGGATTGACACATAATCATGGAGAGGGAGTAAGGAGAGGATTACAGAAGAAATTCCTACCTAATTCAATGAAATAAATTCCCATCATGTTTCTTGAAAGGGAATACTAATACTGACATTGAACATAAAGACCTGATTTATAGTTTTGTCTTTTTTTGAACATTTTATTGTGCTTTAGGTGAAAGTTTATATAGCAAATTCGTTTTCTAGTCAACAATTCATACACAAATTGTTCCATGACATTAGTTATAATGCCTGCAATGTGTTAGCACTCTTTCCATCTCTTCATGGGTTCTTTGTTTCCATTCATTGAGTTTTGTCATCTCTCTCTGCATTCTCAAGGAGCTCTGGTGGCACTGTTGTTAAAGCTTTGGGTTGCTAACCAAAAGGTCTGTAGTTCAAACTTACCACCCTCTCTGTGGGAGAAATATTTCTCACAGCAGTCTGCTTCTGTGAAGATTTACAGCCTTGGGAAGCCTATGGAGCAGTTCTAGTCTTTCTGATAGGGTCGCTATAAGCAAGAATCACTCGATGGCAGTGGGGGGTTTTTTTCCTTGCCTTCTCATCTTTGGTTTTGGGCAATGCTGTCCTTTTGGTTTTGTACAGTTGATTGTTCTAAGGAGCACATTCTTTATGAGTGTGTATTATTTATTTTATAGGCCCATCTATTATTTTGCTGATAGGTGGCCTCTGGGAGTGTCTTCAGTTTCAAGTTATTGTCTTATGGCTATAGTCTCAGGTGTTCCTCCAATCCCTTTCAGACCAGTAAGTCAAGTCTTAGTTTTTGAATTTGAATTTTGTTCTGTATTTTTACCCATTCCAACCAGGACCTTTTATTCTGGTCCCAGTCAGCATGAACAGCAGTGGTAGCCGGGCACCATTTAGCTCTTCTGTTTTTAATTTAGAGGAGACTGTGGTTCATGTGGGTCATTAGTCCTTTGGACTAATTGCCTCCTGAGTCTTAGATTATCTTCTTTCTCTTTAGCTCCAGGTGGGAAGAGACCAGGAGCTGCTTCTTAGGTGACTGCTCACAAGCTTTTAAGGGTTTTGTCTGTTTTTATAGAATAAAACCAGCTTTCAAGAATTTTTGGCTATAGCATGGAATTTACCTTAGAATATTTAAATTATTTTGCTCCCCTTCCCCTCAATATATAATTTCCATGTACTGAAAATATCAGGGAACTAAATGTATAAAGGAACACTATTCACATGATAATATAAATGTGACAAATTAGCATTACTGACTGTAATGTTAATAAAAAATAAAATCTCTTTGGGGACAATGGATATATAATTTGATTAAATATATAATTTTCTGGTAGAGATATACCATTAATTCTAAAAGCATCTTCATTTTTATCAGGTTAACTATATACTAAAGAGCAAAAAGCTATTTTAAAGGGGCTATAAAAATATGTTCACAGTAAATGTGGCATGTCTGATTTTACATTCACTATCATAGCCACTCCTTGGAAGGAAGATGGGGCAATCTACTTTCGTAGTGATACTGCCTTGGAAACCCAAGGAGGGGTTGCTATGAGTTGGGTCCGACTCGATGGCACATAACAACATCATAGTAAAAAAAGGAGCTCTAGTAGCACAGTGCCTAATACATTTGACCACAAACCAGAAGCCTGGCAGTTCAAACCCACCAGGCACTTTGCAGAAGGTATACTGGGCAATCTACTTCCGTAAAGATTTACCAACTGGAAACCCAAGGGGGGTTGCTATGAGTTGGAATTGATTTGATGGCACTGAGTTTGGGTTTTTTTTGGTTTATTATATTTAAGTAAAATTTTGCTGAAGATAATTCAAAAATGATTATAGCAGTAAATCAACTGGGAACTACTAGGAATATAAGCTGGATTCAGAAGAGGATGTGGAACAAGGGGTATCATCGCTGATGTCAGATGAATCTTGGCTGAAAGCAGAGAACACCACAAAGATATTTACCTGTTTTATTGACTATGTAAAAGCATTCAGCTGTGTGGATCATAACAAATATGGGTAACGCTGCAACGAATTGGAATTCCAGAACACCTAATTGATCTCATCCAGAATTTGTACATAGATCAAGAGGCAGTCATTTGAACAGAACAAGGGGACAGTGTATGGTTTAAACTCAGGAAAGGTATGCATCAGAGTTGTATGCATCAGAGTTGCATTCTTTCACCATATATATTTAGTCTGTATGTTGAGCAAATAATTTAAGAAGCTGCTCTATATGAAGAAGAACGGGGCAGCAGGATTGGAGGAAGACTCATTAACAACACCTGTGATATGCAGATGACACAACCTAGCTTGCTAAAAGTGAAGACTTGAAGCACTTACTGATGAAGATAAGAGACTACAGTGTTCAGTATGGATTATACCTCAACATAAAGAAAACAAAAATCCTCACAACTGGACCATTAAACAACATGATGATCAACAGAGAAAAGATTGAAGTTGTCATAAATTTCATTTTACTTGACTGATTTTACAATCAACGCCCATGGAAGCAGTAGTTAAGAAATCAAACAACATATCACATTGGACAAATCTACTGCCAAAGATCTCTTTAAAGTGTTAAAAATCAAAGATGTCATTTTGAGAACTAAGATGCGCCTGACCCAAGCCATGATATTTTTAATTGCCTCATATACATGTAAAAAGGAGCTCTGGTGGCAAAGGAGATAAGGCATTTGGCTGCTAAAGGTCAGCTGCTGCATGGAAGGAAGATGGGGTGATCAACTTCTGTAAAGATTTACAGCCTTGGAAACACAATGGGGGTTGCTATGAGTTGGAATTGACTCGATGCCAGTGAGTATTGGTTTTGCATGTGCAAGTTGGACAATGAATTAAGAAAACTGAGGAAGAATTGATGCATTTGAATTATGGTGTTGGTGGAGAATACTGAATATACCATGAGCTGCCAGAAGCACAAACAACCCTGTCTTGGATGAAGTACAACCAGAATAGTTCTTAGAAGTGAGGGTGGAGAGACTTTGCCTCTCGCACTTTGGTCATATTGCCAGGGGTAACCAGTGCCTGCAGAAGGGTATCATACCTGGGAAAGAAGAAGGTCAGTGAAAAACAGGAAGACGCCAGCAAAATGGACTGGCCCAGTGGCTGCAACAATGGGCTCACTGTAGCAAGGACTGTGCAGGTGATGAAAGACCTGGCAATGTTTCGATCTGTTGTACAAATAGTTTGCTATAAGTGGGAATGGACTCAACAGCACCTAATGACAACAGCGACATCATGTTCAAAGAGACTAGTAAAAGTTTTCTATGGGGTGAATGCCCACCTACTTCATTCTACTTATTACAAAGTACCAACTTTCTTTTCCATGGTCAAATAATCAGTATTGAGAA